TCTCTCTCTATGACAGATAACAATATATCTGCGTAGAGCCCAGTCAAATAATAAGAGGAAGAAAGTTAGTTTTTTCATATGGGACTTAATATACTTGTGAAAAAAAAGGAAACGTATGAATCACACATTCATCGATGCGATTAGTCTACTGCGTTTCACTATACTGCTTTTATCAAGAATGTGATATCAAAAATTGTCTTTAACATAATAAGAAAAATAGAAGAGATTATATAAAAAGATAATTTTTACATACGTACATTTCCAAATGACCGCATTACCGAAAGTTCTCCTTTCGAAGACACCAATAGATTAACGTTATTATCACGTACGCTTGTCGCAAGAATGGGAATATGCGGATGACCTTCCAAGCAAATTACCTATAAATTCAATTTAAAAAAATCGTTATTTTTTCGTTCATACTATAAATAAGAAAAATTTATTTATATTAAACTTATGAAATAGAAAAACTTACGGATTCTCTATCGCCTGTTATACATTGTATGACAGATTCCGAATTTTTTTCCCAAATACATATATTTTCATTGGATCCAACTACAATATATTCACTTTTAGGTCCGAAAAAAATACCGTCACATACTGTAATCAATCAACAAAAAAAGATATGAGTAATTAATAAAATATTAGTAAATCGGGAATTATTTAAAGCATCGCTTCTCTCAACTGTACTAACAAAATTCTAAAAGAGGTATCCCTATAGAAAAATTTTTTAAAAGAAATCTCTTATTAACAATCACACACAAAAATTAATTAAAAAGTGTACCACCGAATCCTGTTTTTTTATATTACATCATAATTTTTTTCTCTTTAAACGCGCATAAAAAACATTTAAACATTAAAAAGATTTATAGTGATCGTGAATAAAAAATAATGTAATTGTAAAATAATGTAATTGCATTTTATGTATAACCTACTCGATGGTCTATACACATTCTGATTAATATGGGTGTAAAGTCCACGTGATGACATTATTAATTTATTAAATAAAAACAAGTCCTTGTCTTTATACGAAGCGAGAATTTCTGTTCCGTTATAGTTATACATAGCAGACGTTACAAATACATATTCATCATGGTCCTAAAATATTTATATCATATATGTAAAAAGAAACATATGTAATAATAAATTATATTATTCTCAATATAAACTTTTATAGTAATAGACTTAATACAAGATGACGTATTACATCATAAGGTTGTAGTTTATAAATCGGATTTGAAACTTTTCGTCGATCGTATGCCATAACACAATCAGACAGACCAGCAACGCAAAATTCATTACTATTTGAAGGATTAGAATCTATACTGTATAATGCTACACTTGATACATTTTCTTTTACCACAAGTAACCTATAAACAAAAAAAATGATATATGTTATAGAGGATTTATTATAAAAAAGTATTGTAATAAAGAAAAATAAGAAAAAAACAATTTTATCATAACTGAAACCTAAGATACATATATATTAATTGGGGCTACTAATTATAACTTAATCAGTTCAGCAGTTATTGAAATCCAATTATCTTGGATATCAATCACAATTGAAGTCTTGATATAAAAAATTAATACAGATATACGCTGTAAAATGTAAATATAAAGCACATAAAAATACACATAAATATATATTTGAACACATATCAATATATTATATACACATATAAATATATATTTGAACTTTTTAATTGCAATTACTCACTCTTTTAGTCTGCTTTCCCTGATATCTATGGATAACACTCTTGAGTCAATTCCAGCTGAAAGGATTATATGAGGTGTTTCAGGATGCACAGCCAATTTGTACGACTTTTCACCGAACATTACCAAATTCGTCGACATGTCGCTTTCAATATCCAATAAACGTATCCGACCATCTTCATCAGAAAAGGCCATAAAATTTTCCAACGGCAGCCATTTGGCCTAAACTCATATAATTATAAATTAGAAAAACTAATTAAGGCTACATTCCAACACGTCCTCCACGAAGAGAGATTTTACTGAACTATATATTTGCAGTTTATATTACGTATATTACATATATATTTCAAGTAAAATATCCTTCAGAGACAACATTTTAGAATGTATTCTTGAAAAATATTAATAAAAATGTTCTTTTATAATTACATCAAAATAATTATTATACAACATTCTAATCGCAAAATGCTATAGTTAATTATAAATACATACATGTAATATAGTCAGATTATCATTATTTGTAAAGGAGCAGCTTTTTTTTCCTACAGCCCAATCCCAAATAGAAATCTCATCACAACCGGCACACATTAATAAATTCCCTTTGTGATTGAAATTTAAAATATCTATTATTTTATTATCCTATAAATAATAATCAAATGTCAATGCATACCATTAAATAATGACACGAGAAAAGCTTAGTGATACTTTCAATACAATGTCTAAATCTAGGTAATTCAATGTATAATATTTAGAAGGTAAATAATTTACCGATACGCATGGATAAAGTTTATACATAAGTTGGAACCGCTCTACTGCATATAAAGAACTATAGAACCGTCTTTCGAATAATGGATTGCTACCTATTTGGCGATTTATCACTTCTGGTACAATATGCCAATTAGAAAATTTTTCCCTTAATTTTAAATAATCAGCTATTTTTTTATTGTTCTCATCTTCATCTTCATCTTCTTCTTGTTCATCCCATTTATCCTCGTTGCTAGCTTCCCGTTTATTCCAATTATCTGTGTTCGAAAATTCGAACTTTTACATCTTACCAAATAATGAAAATATTTGAAAAAATATAAAAATACCTTCATGTCTACATGGTTTAGATTGGTAATTATTGGCAGTTTCTGATCCTGCTCCTAAATTTGTATTTGATGATTTGTTCCTAGCTGACTCATTTATCAAATGATAATTTCGTTGCTCCGCTATTAATGTGTTTCTTTGAAACGTCACTGTATTGACATTTACATTTCCTTCATTGGTATTAAACACACTTTCATTTAATTTTTGTCGCTTACTCAAAATTTCATCCGAACTATCGTCCGATTTTTCTATTGATGTGTCGCTACTGATTTGTACTTGACATTTCGAAATACTTCTTTTGATTTTATTCTGTTTTGTGTGCAATATGCTTGCTTCGTTAGTACAAGAAAGAAATGAACTATTATCTTGTGAGGTAGTAGCTTGTGATAAATCGACCAAATTAAAACTGGTAGGATAGAATTTTTCTTTTAACATATAGTTAGTTTTGTCACAATTATTAGTTCCGATTATCATAATCTCTGCAGAAAGTTCTACCGATTTATTTGCTGGCTCATTTTGAACAATTTCGCAAGCGATATTGTTATCAAATTCGACTATATGAGTTTTGTTTAAAATGACATTGCTCCCCGATGAAACGTCATAATTATTTACATTTTTCGAGATATGTGAATGTGTTAATAAACTTAACTGCACCGTCCTAAATTCCTCGCTATCAGAATTTCTTGTATTAGGAAATGTTTTTTCGGAATAATGACTGGTATCATCTGGTACTTCATTTTTAAAATTCATTTTATTCTAAAGTTCTTTTTATTTATCCAAATTGTCAGTAATTATTCCTTCAAAATACACAATTTGCATCGAAACTAAACTTAAAAAAAAAACAATTAATTTACAATAAATAATAAACTTTTACTACAAATTATATTATAAATACATAAATTAAAGTAATAATGAAAAACATGCATTTGAGTAAATTATTAAAAATCTAGAAAAATAATTCTTGATAATCTAAAATCAATTTCCATACCTTTTGTTCTTGATTAGAAATATATTAATAATGAAAGATACATTCTTAGCATATTTTTTTCATTTACTAATAATTATACAAATTAGTGCAAATTAGTTAAAAATACAAAACTAATTTATTTCTCAACAAACTGAGATCTTTTATTGAAAAGCTTTATTTCGCTAATTTGACATTTCTGAAAGACAACAAAACATTCTTATTATCATAATTTTACAAAATCAAAACTAAATTTAACATAAACTATTTATTCATTCGAGACTCTTCCTTGCGAATTTCTACATCGTCTTTGATGATTCAAGAAAATAAAACATTTTTATTATTATAACTACAAAAACAATAATAGAAATACAATTAATGTGAAGCAATAAATGCTTCGAAGCATTCTTCGACTAGAGAGTTAGCAAAATTTGAATGAAGATGAAATGTAGAGAAGAGTATATCCGGAAGATTTTCGTTCAACAAAACACTCACCTCAGGACTTTCCTGTATAACCGTACTCCATTTTTACAAAATTCAAAATTTCTCTGTCGCGTCAGCTTCAATATAGGAATTTAGTAAAAGAAATGATGATAGCAAAAATAACTGTGTTTAGCGAAACGTTTAATTTACAAGTTACAAATTTTATTCGCGCTGATTGGATCTTACTTTTAGATCTACAAGAATGTTTCGTCAGAGGTCATTCTTTTTCTTCTTTTTCCTTCAATTCGCGCTGGTCTTCGCCATTGGAGTAAAAAAAATGGCGGGAAAACAAAGTATGCGACAGATCTATAAATTTTTATACTCTACAAGTCCAATAATTTATAATAAATGTTTTAAGTCTTAAGAACTGACCAATTACAATCGAATGCGAGAAGAATAATTATGATTTGTCCATTTCTTATAGCTTAATGTGAAAAAGACCTATTGTAGAGCTGTAACTATGCACTCTAACAAAGCTGTCAAATTGCAGATGGAACAATGTAACAACTTAATTACTAATCGAAAATTTGTTATTTTAGCAAAGAAACATATACAAAAAATTAGGAAAGTACTATAGCATACATAACGTTTCTTTTAAAAAATTGAAATCTGTTATATCTTTAAAAGTTCGAGTAAAAATCACAAAGTGCATAAATATTTACTATCCAGCAAATGAGAATGGATTAAAATTTGAATTAAAATTTTTTTTATCCAAATGCGTATTTTAAATAGCGAATACTTTTTTGGATTCAATTGGATTCAATTATTTAATCAATACAATTGGATAGAAAAACTGCATTTCCTATTCAAAATTTTGAATTAAACAGTATTCACAATGCACAGAAAAAGGTTATATTATTTTTAGATTGAAAGGCATAAAAATATGCCTTATGCAATTTCTATAAATGAATAAAGATACCTTCAGGATTGAAAAATATTCATTTAAACATTCGTAAATATAAATATTTCTAACAATCCATCTCAACTCATATCAATCCATTCTCATTTGAGTACATTTCATTACATAATGTTATACAGTAAAATTTATTAATTGAGACAATTAATATAAAAACATGCAATAAGTTCTATACGACTTACATTATTAATTAAATATTAAAAAACGAAAAATGAATCATAAGAGTAAAGCACGGTAACTAATGCACGAATATATATATTATTAAATGATTTATGTTTGTATTTGTAATTAATTAATTGGTTGCAATTTTGATTGTGCATCAATTATCATTCTGCATTTAAATTTGCCATTTTTCCTTTTTAATAAAAAAAAATACGTTTCGTACGTTACACATGTAACTCTCATTGCAATATTAAATCGAATTATTTTAAACAACAATTTTAAGATAAAAAACATATTCTATTCAACGTCGCCACTATCGGGTAGATTATCCTCGACGGAGTTGTTCGACCCAAAGTTACTACCATTATCACTGACATGAATGTAATTGGTATCATCTTGGCCTTCACTTGAATTTGAATAGTAATATAGTGGATAAAAATCCGCAAAAAAATGCTAGAAAAAACATGACAGTGTGTATAATCAATTTTATCTCTCTCTTTCTCTCTCTCTCTCTCTCTCACACTCTCTCTGCCATATAATGTCTGCGTATCCTTTAAACGAAAATGGATTAAAATGAAATGAAATCAGATTTTCAAATTGATTCAGAAATGTTAAAATAAATGCTTTTCAATCCTGAATGCATTGTTATTCATTTATAAGAATTGCATGGAGCATATCTCTATGCTTTTCAATCTATAAATAATATTAGCTTATCAGTGAATATTATTTAATCCAGATTTTTGAATAGAAAATGCAATTTTTCTATCCAATTGCATTTTTCTTTTCAATTAAATCTAATTAAATCCATTTAAATTCAATTAAACCCATAAATAATATTCGTTATTTAAAATGCATTTAGATAGAAAATAATTTGAATCTATTTTATTCCATTTTCGTATATTGGGTAGAGTCAAATAATTAGTAGATGAAAATGTTATTTTCCTCCCCTCGCGTGAGACTTCCCATACTTCTGAATAAAAGGAAAAGAATGAATCACATATTCATCAATGGGATTAGTCTACTGCATACTATTGCTTTTATTAAGAATGAGTGAAGTGATTGCAAAAATTATCCCTAAGATAACAAGAAAAATAAAAAAAACTATATATAACAGATAATAATATTTATATACATACCTTCCCATCTGATCCCATTACCGAAAGTTTTCCTTTCGAAGATACCCACAGTTTAACGTTATCATCATATCCGCATGTCGCAAGAATGGGAATATGCGGATGACTCTCCAAGCAAGTTACCTATAAATTAAATTTTAAATAGTAGCTATTTTCTCGTTTATATTACAAATAAAAAAAATTTATTTATAATAAATTTATCGAAAAACTTACATGGTGAAAATCTGCTGCCATATATTCTATGACAGATTCCAAATTTTTTTCCCAAATAGATATATTCTGATAGGTTCCAGCTACAATATATTCACTTTTAGGTCCGAAAAAAATACCGTCAAATACTGTAATCAACCAACAAAAGGCAAGCGTAACTAATTAAATATTAGTGAATCGGGAATTATTTAAAGCATTGTTTCTCTCATCTATACTAACAAATTCTAAAAGGAACTTTTTTATTAACAACACGCACACGAAAATTAATTTAAAAATATATTACCAAACTCTGTTTTGTTATATTATACCATAGTTTTTCCCTCTTTAAACCCGGATATAAAAAAACGTTTAAAAATTAATAACATTTATTGGGATCGTAAATAAAAAAATTATGTAATTGTAAAATAATGTAATTATATTTTATGTATAACCTACTCTACACACCATTCTGATACATATGACCGTAATCTCCACGTAATGACGTTATTAATTTATTAAACAGAAATAAACCCTTGCTATTATAGGAAGCCAGAATTTCTGTTCCGTTATAGTTATACGTAGCAGTCGTTACAAGTTCATCATTTTCCTAAAACATTTATATTATATATTTAAGTAAATAAACATATGTAATTACAAATAATACGTAATATATTGTAATATATTATAATATATTGTAATAACAAATAATATGTAATATATAGTGTAATATAGTGCTTTTATTATAAACTTTTATAGTAATAGACTTAATACAAAACGACGTACTACATCATAAGGCCACAGTTTGTAAAGCGGTTCTGAAACTTTTCGCCGATCGTATGCCATAACACAGTAAGACTGACCAGCAACGCAAAATTCATTACTATTTGAAGGATTAGAATCTATACTGTGTAATAGTACATTTAATGAATTTTCCTTTACTTCAAGTAACCTATAAACGAAAATAATTATATAAGTTATAAAGAATTTAAAATAAAACAGTATTATAAAAATTAAAAAAAAAACACTTTTATCATATAACTGAAATCCAAGATACATATATATTAATTGAGCCTCCTAATTATAACAAGATCAGTTCAGCAGTTATGAAAATCTAATAATCTTAAGTATCAATCACAATTGAAATCTTGATAAAAAAATTAATAGGGTAGGTATACGCTGTAAGATGTAAACATAAAACACACTTAAAAAAATATAAATTTATATTTGAACTTTTTAATTGCGATTACTCACTCTTTTGGTTTGCTTTCCCGGATATCTATTGATAACACTTTTGATCCAGCTGAAAGAATTACATGAGGTGTTTCAGGATGCACAGCCAATTTGTGAAACCCTTCATTCTGCATCAACAATTTCGTCGACATGTCGCTTTCAATATCTAACAAACGTATTCGATTATCTGTACTAGAAAGAGCCACATAATTGTCCAATGGCAGCCACTTGGCCTAGACGTATACAATTATAAATTAGGAAAACTGATTAAGGCTACATTCTAAAACATCCTTCACCGAGAAAGATTTACTTATATATTGACTATATATTTGCAGCATATATTACGTATATTACATGTATATTTCGAGTAAAATATTCCTTAGAGAAAACATTTTGGAATATATTCTTGAAAAAGATTTTTCCTTGAAAAAAACTCTTTTTTGGATTAAATTGAATTCAATTAAATTCAATTAATTTCAGTTGGATACAATAGGATTAAAAAATTGCATTTCTTATTCAAAAATTTGCATTAAACAGTATTCACAAAGTACAGAAAAGCTATTATTATTTTTGAATTGAATGGCATAGAGATTATGCTCCATGCAATTCCTATATATGAATAAAAATGCATTCAGTATTGTAAAGCATTCATTTTAACATTCGAGAATGAATATTTCTGAAAATCTGAATTTATTTCTATCCATTCTTGTTTGCTAAATAATTACATCAAAGTAACTACTATACAACATTCTAATTGCAATGCTATATTTAATTAAAAATACATACATCTATAAAGAAGATGTCATCATTATTTGTAAAAGAAAAGCTTTTTTTCCCTACAGCCCAATCCCAAATGAAAATCTCATTATTAACGGCACACATTAATAAATTTCCTTTGTGATTGAAATTTAAGATATTTATGTTATTATCATCCTATAAATAATAATCAATTGTAAATGCATATCAATATATAATGATACAAGAATTGCTTAATGATACTTTCAATACAATGTATAAATCTAGCGTAATTCAATGTATATTTAAAAGGTGAATAATTTACCGAAACGCGTAAATAAAGTTTATACATAAGTTGGAACTGCTCTATTGCATACGAAGAACTATAAAATCGTCTTTCGAATAATGGATTGCTACCTATTTGGCGATTTATCACTTCTGGTACAATATGCCAATTAGAAAATTTTTCCCTTAATTTTAAATAATCAGCTATTTTTTTATTGTTCTCATCTTCATCTTCATCTTCTTCTTGTTCATCCCATTCATCCTCGTTACTAGCTTCCCGTTTATTCAAATTATCTGTTCAAAATTCAAACTTTTACATCTTACAGAAACCAAATGATGCAAATATTTAAAAAAGTATAAAAGTAACTTTATGTTTACATGGATTAGATTGGTAATTATTAGCAGTTTCTGAATTTTTTTCTAAATTTGAATTCGATGATTCGTTCTTAACTAACGCATTTATCAAACGATAATTTTCCTGTTCTAATAATTTGTTGGTTTGAAACGTCACTGTATTGTCATTTCCTTCACTGGTATTCCATACACTTTCATTTAATTTTTGTCGTTTACACAAAACTTCTGAACAATCGTCCGATTTTTCTATTAATGCGTCGCTATTGGTTTGTACTTGACATTTCGAGATACTTCTTTTGATTTCATTTTGATCTGTGTGCAATATATTTGCTTCGTTAGTATAAGAAAGAACTGAACTATTATCTTCCGAGGTAGTAGCTTGTGATAAATCGATCAAATTTCGACTGGTATTATCCGGTACTTTATTTTCAAAGTTCATTTTATAAAAAAATTTTTTTTATTTATCCAGACTGTTTATTTCATCAAAATACACAATTTGCATCGAAAACTTAACTATGGTTCTAAAAATATATTAATTCCCAATAATTAATAAACTTTTATTACATTACACATTACATATACATAAATTATATAACAGCGGTGTAAATTATAGTACATAAATTATAGTTTTAATAAAACACATACGCATATATTTGAGTAAATTAAAAAAAATTTAGAAAAATGATTTTTGATTATTTAAAATGAATATTCATACCTTTTGTTCTTGATTAAGAATATATCAATAATGCAAGAAATTTCTTTGACACAGTTTTCTCGTAATTTTCTTATAATTATATAAATTAGTTCAAATAAGATATTTGAAATAACAAAACTAATTTATTTCAATAAACTTAACAAATCGAGAATCTTTTATTGACAAGCTTTATTTCGCTAATTTCACATTTCTGAAAAACAACGAAACATTCTCTTTATCATAACTTTTCAATGTCAAAACTAAATTTAACGTAAACTATTTATTTCCTCGAGATCATTTCTTGTGAATTTTTACATCGTCTTTGATCTCTTTCAAGGAGATAAAACATTTTTATTATTATATTCTCAAAAAACAAAACTAAAAATACAATTAATGTCAAGCTATAAATATGTGTAGCATTCTTCGATTAGACAGTTAGCAAAATTTGAATGAAGATGGAATGTAGGGGGAAAATATATTCGGAGTGTTTTCATTGGCAGAACACTCAGCTTGGGACTTTTCTTGCATAGCCGTACCCCATTTTTACAAAAAGAAATTTTTAAAAATTCAGAATTTTTCTGTTGTGTCAGATTCATTACAGGAATTTAATAAAAGAAATGATGATAGTCAAAAATATATGTGTTCAGCGAGACATTTAATTTTCAAGTTACAAATTTTATTCGCTAATTGAATCTTATGCTTAGATCTACAATAGTGTTTCGTCGAAGATTCTTCTTTTTCTTCTTTTTCCGTTGATTGACGCTTGTTTCCGCCGTTGGAATAAAAAAATGGCGCGGAAACAAAGTATGCGACAAATCTATAAATTTTTATAGTCTACAAATTCAATAACTTACAATAATTTCTTTGAGTCTTAAGAAACTGACAAATTACAATCGAATGCAAGAATAACAATTATGATTTGTCCATTTCTTAGAACTTAATGTTTAAAAATTTATTGTAGGTCCGAGCTTTAATTTTACACACTAACAAAACTGTCAAATAGTAGACGGAACAATGTATCAACTTAATTGCTAATTGATAATTTGATATTTTTGCAAAGAAACATATATGAAAAATTAAGGAAATATTATAGTACATGTAATGTTTCCTTTCCAAGAATTAAAATCTGTTATATCTTAAAACGTTCAAGTAAAAATCGCAAAGTGCACAAATATTTACTTCTCAGCAAACGAGAATAAATTAAAAGGGATTAAAATTTTTTTTTAAACTTGAAATTTTTTTTATCCGAATGCTATTTTAAATACAAATACTTTATTGAATTTAATTGGATTCAATTGGATTCAATTAGATTCAATTATCATATACAATTGGATAGAAAAACTGCATTTTCTATTCAAAATTTTGAATTAATCAGTGTTCACAATGCACAGAAAAAGATAATATTATTTTTAGATTGAAAGGCATAAAGATATGCCCCTTCAATTCCTACAAATGAATAAAGATGCTTTCAGGATTTAAAAATATTCATTTAAACATTCGTAAATCAATATTTCTAACAATCTGAATCCATCTCAATTCATATCAATCCATTCTCGTTTGAGTACATTTCATTACATAATGTTATACAGTAAAATTTATTAATTGAACCAATTAATATAAAAACATGCAATAATTATATATGACTTACAATATTAATTAAATATTAAAAAACGAAAAATAAATTATAAGAGTAAAGCACGGTAACTAATGCGCGAATATATCCATTATTAAATGATTTATGTTTATATTTGTAATTAATTAATTGGTTGCAATTTTGATTGTGCATCAATTATCATTCTGCATTTACATTTGCCATTTTCCCTTTTTAATAAAAAAATACTTTTCGTACGTTACACATGTAACTCTTATAGCAATATTAAATCGCATTATCTTAAACAACAATTTTAAGATAAAAAACATATTCTATTCAACGTCGCCACTATCGGGTAGATTATCTTCGACGGAGTTGTTGGACCCGGAGTTACTACCATTATCACTGACATGAATGTCATTAGTATCTTCTTGGCCTTCACTTGAAGTTGAATAGTAATGTGGTAGATCCGCATAAAAATGCTAGAAAAAACATGACAGAGTGTATAATCAATTTTATCTCTCTTTCTCTCTCTCTCTCTCTCTCTCTCTCTCTCTCTCTCTCTCTCTCTCATTCTCTCTGACAGATAATGTCTGCGTATCCAGCAAACGAAAATGGATTAAAATGAAATGAATTCAGATTTTCAAATATATTAATTCACGAATGTTAAAATAAATGCTTTTTAATCCTGAATGCATTGTTATTCATTTATAAGAATTGTATGGAGCATATCTCTATGCTTTTCAATCTATAAATAATATTAGCTTATCAGTGAATACTATTTAATTCAAATTTTTGAATAGAAAATGCAGTTTTTCTATTCAATTGCTTTTTTCTATCCAATTAAGTCTAATTAAATCCATTTAAATCCAATTAAATCCATAAATGATATTTGTTATTTAAAATACGCATTTAGGTAGAAAATAATTTGAATCTATTTTATTCCATTTTCGTATTTTGGGTAGAGTCAAATAATTAGAGGATGAAAATGTTATTTTTTTCTCCTCGCGTGAGACTTGACATACTTGTGAATAAAAGGAAACGAATGAATCACACATTCATCAATGGGATTAGTCTACTGCGTACCACTGCTTTTATTAACAATGTGATTGCAAAAATTGTTTCTAAGATAACAAGAAAAATAAAAAAAACTGTGTAACAGAAAATAATATTTATATACGTACCTTCCCAACTGACCCCATTACTGAAAGTTCTCCTTTCGAAGACACCCACAGTTTAACGTTGTCATCAAATCCGCTTGTCGCAAGAATGGGAATATGCGGATGACTCTCCAAGCAAGTTACCTATAAATTAAATTTTAAATAGTCGCTATTTTCTCATTTATACTACAAATAAGAAAAATATATTTAAATTAAATTTATGAAATAGTAAAGCTTACGGATCTTCTATCTCCTCTTATATATTGTATGACAGATTCTGAATTTTTTTTCCAAATAGATATATTATGATAGGATCTAGCTACAATATATTCACTTTTAGGTCCGAAAAAAATACCGTCAAATACTGTAATCAACCAACAAAAGGCATGAGTAATTAATTAAATATTAGTAAATCAGGAATTATTTAAAGCATCGCTTCTCTCAATTATACTAACAAATTCTAAAAGTGACTTTTTTATTAACAACACGCACACGAAAATTAATTTAAAAATGTATTACCAAACCCTGTTCTGTTATATTATATCATAGTTTTTCTCTCTTTAAACTCGCATATAAGAAAACGTTAAAAAATTAATAACATTTATTGGGATCTTAAATAAAAAATAATGTAATTGTAAAATAATGTAATTGCATTTTATGTATAACCTACTCTACACACCATTCTGATACATATGGCCGTAATCTCCATGTAATGGCGTTATTAATTTATCAAACAGGAATAAACCCTTGCTGTTATAGGAAGCGAGAATTTCTGTTCCGTTATAGTTATACGTAGCAGACGTTACAAATTCATCATTGTCCTAAAACATTAATAGTATATATTTAAGTAAATAAACATATGTAATAACAAATAATACGTAATATATTGTAATATATTGTAATATAATTTAATAATAAATAATATGTAATATATAATGTAATATATTGCTTTTATTATAAACTTTTATAGTAATAGACTTAATACAAAACGACGTACTACATCATAAGGCCATAGTTTATAAAGCGGTTCTGAAACTTTTCGCCGATCGTATGCCATAACACAATAAGAATGACCAGCAACGCAAAATTCATTACTATTTGAAGGATTAGAATCTATACTGCTTAATAGTACATTTAATGAATTTTCCTTTACTTCAAGTAACCTATGAACGAAAAAATTATATAAATTATAAAGAATTTATTATAAAAAGTATTATAAGAAAAATTAAAAAGAAACACTTTTATCCTATAACTGAAATCCAAGATACATATACGAGTATATTAATTAAGTCTACTAATTATAACATGATCGGTTCAGCAGAGCTATTAAAATGTAATAATCTTAGGTATCAATCACAATTAAAATCTTAACAAACAAATTAATACAGTAGATATACGCTATAAGATGTAAACATAAAACACACTTAAAAAAATATAAATTTATATTTGAACTTTTTAATTGCGATTACTCACTCTTTTGGTTTGCTTTCGCGGATATCTATGGATAACACTTTTGAGTTTGTCCCAGTTGAAAGAATTACATGAGGTGTTTCAGGATGTACAGCCAATTTGTAAAATCTTTCATTCTGCATCAACAATTTCGTCGACATGTCGCTTTCAATATCTAACAAACATATTCCATTATCTGTACTAGAAAAAGCCACGTAATTGTCCAACGGCAGCCACTTGGCCTAAACGCATACAATTATAAATTAGAAAAACTTTTTAAGGCTACATTCTAAAACATCCTTCATCGAGAAAGATTTTACTTATATATTGACTATATATTTGCAACATATATTACGTATATTACATGTGTATTTCGAGTAAAATATTCCTTAGAGAAAACATTTTGAAGTGTATCCTTGAAAAAGATTTTTCCTCGAAAAAAACTTTTTTTGGATTTAATTGAATTCTATTAAATTCAATTATTTTCAGTTGGATACAATTGGATTTAAACATTGCATTTCTTACTCAAAAATTTGCATTAAACA